CTAAACTAGCAAGAAGCAATCAAAAATGAGATTTAAAAAAATAATTCCACTCACAAAAGCATCAAAAAGAATAAAATACTTAAGAACAAATTTAGCAAAAGAAGTTCAAGACCTCCGGGCACCTGGGTGGTTCAGTGAGTTAAAGCCTCTGCCTTCAGCTCTGGTCATGATCTCAGGGTCCAGGGATCAAGCCCCACATCGGGCTCTCTGCTCAGCAGGGAGCCTGCTTCCAACCGCCCCCCCCGCCCCCGCCTGCCTCTCTGCCTACTTGTGATCTCTGTCAAAAAAAAACAAAAAACAAAAAAACAAAAAAACCTTAAAAAAAAATAAAAGAATACTGTTTCACAGTTAAAAAAAAAAAAAAAGTTCAAGACCTGCACAATGAAAACTGGAAAAGATTGCTGAGAAATCTGCTGGGAAATTGCTGAGTTAGTTAAGCATCTGATTCTTGATTTCAGCTTAGGCCATGATCTCAGGGTTATGAGATTGAGCCCCATGTCGGGCTCTGTGCTGGGCGTGGAGCCTGCTTAAGATTCTCTCTCTCCCTCTCCCTCTGCCCAGGCCCTCCTCCCCTCCATCTTCCTCTTAAAAAAAAAAAAAAAAAAAAAATTAAAAAACTGGCAAAAGAACAGACATATCACCAAAAAGGATACACGGATGGTTAGATCAGCACGCGAAAAGATGGTCAACATCATTAGCCATTAGGGAAATGCAAACTAAAACCATAAATGAGATATCACTCCTTTTAGAACTAAAAATAAAGAAGTCTGACAATACTTAATGCTGGTGATGATGCGAAGAAACGGAATCTCTCATTCATTCCTGATGGGAAGGTAAAATGGTATAATCACTCTGGAAAATAGTTGAGTAGTTTCTTATAAAATTAAACAGATTCTTATCTCACCACTGAGAGATACTTCTAAGCATTTATCCCAGAGACACGAAAAGTTAGGTTCCCACAAAAACCCGGTTTTTAGAGAAGTGGTTATAGTAGCTATCTTTGTGATAAGCCAATAGAGAAACGGTTAGAGTAGCTATCTAATAACCCAAACTAAAAGCAATTTGAATGTCTTCCAACAAGAGAATGGATAGACAAACCAGGGAACTCCCAAACAATGGAATATTACCCTGAAATAAAAGGAATGAACTATTGCCATGTGTATAAAAACTTGGGTGGATCTCCAAAGGTTTCATAGATTATGATTTTATTTATGTAACATTCTTGAAATGGTAAAATTATAGATCTGGGGACCGGCTCGCCCATTGCCAGGGGTTGGGCCTGGGGGAAGGGAGTTTCTTAGTGTTTATGGGACAGTTCCGTCTGTTGATTACTCTGGTGGTTACATGCGTCTGTCTTTGTAATAAAATTGTATGTAACTATACACAGCACACACACACACAGTGAAAAATGAATAAGGTCTACAGTCCGGTTAATGTGCTTTTGTCCCAATGTCAATTTCCTTATTTCCATATTGTACTACATATGATTGTGTTGATTATTATTAATGACATACATTTGTCAAAACTCACTGAACCATACACTTAAATAGGTGATTTTGATTGTGTGCCAATTATACCTCAGAATGCTAATTTTGAAATATAAAATAATAAATAGTACAGTCACCAAAAAGGAGAGGAAGGAAGGAAGAGGGGGAGGGGCAGGGAGGGAGAAGTGGGGGAGGGAAGGAAAGAAGAAACAGTAACTTGGGGGTAAACAGAAACCACCCTAAGTGAAGGAAACACACACACACACACACACACACACGTACATGCACGAGTGACAACAATACATTCATGTGCTCAGAAAGGTAGGAGAAGATACTAGATCAGTGCAATAAAAATCAGATATAAAAAAAAAGCTAGGATACTCATGAATTAAAACTGACAGCAGATTTGAAAAACACAATAGTTAGAAGGCTTAATTTGAAGCCATCTCCCAGAAAGCAGTACAAAAAGACAGAAATGGAAAATGAGGGAAAAGATAAAATTGGATGACCTATCTGGGAGGTCCAGGATCTGAATGGTGGAAGTTCCAGAGGGGGGAAACGGAGGAGAAATCGGAGGGGAGAGAATCCTCAACAACACAGGAGAATTTCCCAGACTGGAAGGGAAACGTGCTTTGAGACCAAAAAAGCCCAATAAATGCTCAGCACGACGGTACTCATTGTGAAAACCAGAACACTGGGGACTAAGAGAAGATTCTAAAAGCTTCCAAAGAGGACTGGCTCCTGAAAGCTCATTGTTAAATTTTGGGAATTTTGCAGCCAGTTGTTAAATTATTGGTAGCATGAAATCAGCCCCAATGGGAATATTTACACTGTTATTTACATCATGAACATTGCTGGGGGGGGGGGGAGTTCGCTTACTGGCATATTTCTAAATAGTTAAGTAAATTACAGCATAAAGCTTATGCAGATGTTAACAATAGTAACTACGAAGAATGTATAGAAACAGCAAATGTTGGGGCGCCTGAGTGGTTCAGTCGGTTAAGTGTCTGACTCTTAGTTTCACTTTATGTCATGATCTCAGGGTCCTGAGATAGAGCCCTGTATCTGTCCTCTGCCCTGCCACCCCTCGCGAAATAAGTAAATCTTAAAAAAAAAAAAAAAAAAGGAACACAGAAAATGTTGACATAACATTAAGTTAGGTAAGTAAACAAAAAGTAGAAGCACACTGTAGATACAATTATGGTAAAATTCGTAGGGACAGAGACCAAAGGAAATACACACAGGAAAAAAGTTATTTTGTTATGGTGAATGCTGGGAGTGTTTTAAAGTTTACTTTAAAGGATCCTTATTATTTGTATTCATTAAGATTAAAAACTTTTGCTCAGCTCAGCCTCCCCAAATTCCTACAGAACAAAGGTCAAACTTGCTTAACGAAAATCCTATAAACGGTGACTTGTTCCCTTAAGGCCTTCTAGGAATCTAGGCAGGTTAATTTTTCATTTTGTTCTGCCTGCCCACCCCTGGGCTTATCTTGAGGAACCACGAGCGTCTGGGGAGAATCTGTACAACCCACTCCCACGTGTGTCTCTGTGGTTAACATTTATCACTTGGGCTGGAGGCGAGCTAACCCTTAGCTTAGGAGTCTGTTCTCTGGGGGAAGAAACCATCTTATTGGGCGTACATTGTTCAACAACTGTTCAGCGTTTGGGGAGGCAGGGTAGGATGGCCATGTTAATGCCACCTCTTCCATGAAGCCCTCCGGATTGCCACACTGCCACCACCCCTCCGGGAGAAATCACGCTCTCCCTCTCTCATGCTGGCCTAGCACTTGCCGTGACCTGGGGCAGATGGACTTATTCTCTCTGTAACTCCGCTTCCTCATCTGTAAAGTGGAGGCGATAACCGCACCTATGTCAGCAGGTTCCTGTGAGGATTAAACCAGGCTGTGTTTTTGACGCCCCCACACCAAGCTCGTGGTAAACGCCCAACAAAAAGAAGCCACCGTGATGATTATTTTGGCATTTGCCTTGCTGTCTCCTATTGCAACACTTAACACTCTCACCTCCCCTGTTTGATTGAAAACTCCTCTTGGGCGGGGAACATATCCTGTTTATTTCCCGTCTGTTCCATAGCCCACTGCATGCTGTCTGGCCACAGCACACATGTGGTGAATCGCTCGTGAGTGTGCACAAAGAAGCACACGCGGGGCCATAGGTATGTGCAGGTGTGTGCACACGTTTGGGGACACACCTACACCCATATGTCCTTCTGTTGGCTGGCCTGTCTGGTCTGCGGCATTCGACAGCATTGACTACCTCTACCTTCTGGAAGGCAGCGGCTCCTGGGATCGCTCTCTCTCTTGGATCTCCCCCTACTTCTCTCACCACTACCGCTCAGCCTCCTACACACACCCCCAGCCCACTGGCCTTTAAGTGTCTGGTCCCCCCAGGGCCATCTCAGCCCTGTTCTTCTCGCTTTGGGCACAGCTGAGTGCCTTCATCAGAACCACAGCAGAGGCCAGAAAGTTTGCAAGCCTGGGTGTCATCAGCCTCACCCTCCAGACCTACAAAGCCTGCCAGAGGCGTGGCTTCGAGGTCTTCCCCGATAGCTCCCAGATAAAAATCCCACCCTCCACCCTCCTCTCTGACCCGTGGCCATGGTGTCAGCTCAGACCCCTCCACTTTTTCTCTGGATCTTGCTGCCACAGGGAGCCCTCCTTGGGTCCCTGTGAACAGAGGGGTGCATACACAGACAGAGAGCTAATAAATCCGCTATCGGGTCTTAACTGTAGAATCAAAGTGGTAGGGATATGAGTATTTGTGGCAATTCCTTTCACTTTTTCTTTGCTTCAAATTTTTCATGAGGTACCGGGGGAAACTCAGACTCCTTCACAGAGACCATAAGATCCCCTACCATCTGGCCACTGCCTCCCTCTATAACGGCATCTGCCACCACTCCCATGTCCCCTTCCCAAAAACCATCCAAAATTTCGAAGCCACTGGGAAGAGTTGGGGTATTTCATTCCTCTGCACCCACGGTCTTGCTGTTCCCCATTCCCAGAATGTTTTTCTCTGTGTTCTTCCTCCCAAACCCCTGTGTGCCCCTCAAACTCATCTCAAGCGATGCCTCCTCCAGGAAGCCTTCCCTAAGCGAGTTCCAAAGCTCCTTATCTGGTTCCCATGTCCCCCCCCCCTCCCCTGCCTCAGCAAAGGTCTGAAGGTCCCCGCAGAGGACTGGTTTTGTAGCTATGCTGCCTCACGGGAGACCTGGCCCCAGGACTCTGGATCACAGAGGATCACTAATTTCTCCCCTAAGAGGATGTTTCCTCAGGCTGTTCCTGTGTGTGTGTGTGTGTGTGTGTGTGTGTGTGTGTGTGACAAACACACTTAGCTGGCTGAGCGGATCCCGGTGCTAGATCGGACAGACCAACCTGAGGAGCCCCGGGGCCTGCAGGAGGGGTCCCGCGGCCAGGGGTGGAGGCCCCCCTCCCGAGGAAGAGGTTCAGGCTGGGGTAGGGAAGAAGGCGGGGCCTGAGGCTGTGCTAGTCGGTGTCCCGGACTGGGGACGGAAGTTGCTGAAGTACCATTAGTTTCAGTTTTGTTTCTCTCTCAGGCACCCAGCCGCAGCACCGTCCAGGCCTCGGGGGTCCCCCCACTCCCCATCCTGGAGGCCAAGGTCAGCTCAGGCTTGGTAAGGAGGGCCGGGGAGGGCACCTGAAGGAGGAGCTGAGCTGGAGGGAGTGGGGGGAAGGGAACGGGAGGAAGAGGAGGGGGGAGGGGAGGGACCCGGAAGGCGGGAGGAGAGGAGTAGGTGGGCGGGAGCACCCCACCAGCTCCCCACTCTGGGACCAGAGGCCTGACACCCATCTGGGAAAGAACCCTCTCTGTGGCCTGTTCTCCCGGCCCTCACCCCCAGAAGTTTGGGGGTGACCCCCCCCACCGGCAGTCCCTTCCTGGAGGATTTTGCCACTGTGCTGGCATCTGGGCAGGGGGAGTCACAGATGGACCCACACAACTCAGAGGCTTCTAGGAAAGCAGACAGGCAGCAAGGCCTCTAGGAGATGAGACACAGGCCCTGGAGAGCCTGAGGTCTAACAGCTGGAAGGACAGCCGGGCAGCCCCCTCCCCACAGCCTTCCTTCCTTCTGCTCCAGAACCCCTACCAAGTTAGTCCGGCAGGAAATGGGGCCCCCACAGCCCCTGATGCTGCTCCCTGGGTCTAGAAGACCGGTGTGTGGGGCTGCAGGAACTGGGGCCCCTTATCCTGCCCCAGCTGCCAGGAGTCAAGGTGACTCTGCCCACAGGGACCCTCCCTGTGTCCCTTCTCTGCCTGCCCCCACCCCAGCCCCTGCCCCCCGCTGGATCTCAGCACTCTGCACACGGGGTGGGGGTGGGGGGGCTTGGGTGACACTTGCTCCAGGCCTGTCCGCCCAGTGCTGAGCATTACCCCGGTCGGTCCCCCAGGCTGGGCTTCCTGGTCTCATTTCTCACGGCCCTAGGCACCAGGCGAGCAGGTGGTTCCTCTTGCGTATCTCCGACTGCATAGCTCAAAAGCAAGTGGCCACACGCCCTGGGAGACCAGAAGAAGATTTCCTGGCCATTCAGGTGAGACCCCCAGACCTGGCAGGGTTTGAGGATGTTTGAGGGGGGAGGCAGAACGGTAGGCTGGAGGGACCGTGGAGGCACCCTCTGCCCTCTGACCCTGAGCCCTCGCTTGCAGCATGGTTTCCCAGGGATCCTCACCCTCCCTCCTGGAAGCCCTGAGCAGCGATTTCCTAGCCTGTAAAATATGCCTGGAGCAGCTTCGTGCCCCCAAGACGTTGCCCTGCCTGCACACTTACTGCCAGGACTGCCTGGCCCAGCTGGCCGATGGCGGCCACCTGCGCTGCCCTGAGTGCCGGGAGACCGTGCCTGTGCCGCCTGCGGGTGTGGCCGCCTTCAAGACCAACTTCTTCGTCAACGGGCTCTTGGATCTGGTGAGGGCCCGGGCTGGCGGAGACCTGCGCGCGGGGAAGCCTGCCTGTGCGCTGTGTCCCCTGATGGGGGGGGCCGGCACCGGGGGGCCGGCCACGGCCCGGTGCTTGGACTGTGCGGACGACCTATGCCAGGCGTGTGCCGACGGCCACCGTTGCACCCGGCAGACCCACACCCACCGGGTGGTGGACCTGGTGGGCTACAGGGCAGGCTGGTACGATGAGGAGGCCCGGGAGCGCCAGGCGGCCCAGTGCCCCCAGCATCCTGGGGAAGCCCTGCGCTTCCTGTGCCAGCCCTGCTCCCAGCTACTGTGCCGCGAGTGCCGCCTGGACCCCCACCTGGACCACCCCTGCCTACCCCTGGCCGAGGCCGTGCGCGCCCGGAGGCCCGGCCTGGAGGAGCTGCTGGCGGGTGTGGACAACAACCTGGCGGAGCTCGAGTCCGCCCGGATGGTGGAAAAGGAAGCCTTGGCCCGGCTGCGGGAGCAGGCGGCTAGGGTGGGGACCCAGGTGGAGGAGGTGGCCGAGGGGGTGCTCCGGGCCCTCCTGGCCCAGAAGCAAGAGGTGCTGGGGCAGCTACGGGCCCACGTGGAGGCTGCGGAGGAGGCCGCTCGGGAGAGACTGGGGGAGCTGGAGGGCCGGGAGCAGGTGGCCAGGGCGGCGGCCGCCTTCGCCAGACGGGTGCTCAGCCTGGGCCGCGAGGCTGAGATCCTCTCGCTGGAAGGGGCGATTGCCCAGAGGCTCCGGCAGCTGCAGGGCTGCCCCTGGATGCCTGGGCCGGCCCCCTGCCTGCTGCCCCGGCTGGAGCTCCATCCTGGGCTCCTGGACAAGAACTGCCACCTGCTACGGCTCTGCTTTGAGGAGCAGCAGCCCCAGAAAGACAGTGGGAAAGACGAAGCTGGAGGCCAGGGAGGGGATGAAGCTCAGAGCCAGAGAGAGGGGGGAGCCAAGTCGGAAAGACAAGGTGGAATCCAGCCCCAGAGCAGGGATGGCGCTTACACCCCAAAGGAGAACAGAGCCCAGACACCCCAGGAAGAGGGAGCCCAGACCCCGAAGGAGGAGAGAGCCAAGACGCCCCAGGAAGATGGAGCCCAGACCCCAAAAGAGGGCAGAGCCCAGACACCCCTAGAAGACGAAGGAGCCCAGACCCCAAGGGGCAGCAGATCCAACAAGAAGAGGAAGTTCAAAGGCAGGCTCAAGTCCATTTCCCGGGAGCCCAGCCCAGCACCTGGGCTAAACCTGGAGGGCTCCGGCCTCCTCCCCAGGCCCATTTTTTCCTGCAGCTTCCCCACGCGCATGCCTGGAGACAAGCGGTCTCCTCGGATCACAGGGCTCTGTCCCTTTGGCCCCCGGGAGATCCTGGTGGCCGATGAGCAGAACAGGGCACTGAAGCGCTTCTCCCTCAGTGGTGACTACAGGGGCGCGGTGCCCGTCCCTGAGGGCTGCTCCCCGTGCAGCGTGGCCGCCCTGCAGGGGGCAGTGGCCTTCTCGGCCGGCGCGCGGCTCTACCTCATCAGCCCCGATGGCGAGGTGCAGTGGCGGCGGGCCCTGAGCCTCTCCCAGGCCAGCCACGCCGTGGCCGCAATGCCGAGCGGGGACCGGGTGGCCGTCAGCGTGTCGGGCCACGTCGAGGTGTACAACATGGAAGGCAGCCTGGCCACCCGGTTTATCCCGGGGGGCAAGGCCAACAGGGGCCTGCGGGCTCTGGTGTTCCTGACCACCAGCCCCCAGGGCAATTTTGTGGGGTCCGACTGGCAGCAGAACAGCGTGGTGGTCTGTGACGGGCTGGGTCAGGTGATCGGGGAGTACCGGGGGCCGGGCCTGCACGGCTGCCAGCCAGGGTCTGTGTCCGTGGATAAGAAGGGCTACATCTTTCTGACCCTTCGCGAGGTCAACAAAGTGGTGATCCTGGATCCGAAGGGGTCACTGCTCGGTGACTTCCTGACGGCCTATCACGGCCTGGAAAAGCCCAGGGTGACCACCATGGTGGATGGCAGGCACCTGGTTGTGTCCCTCAGTAATGGGACCATCCACGTCTTTCGGGTCCGCCCTCCTGATAGTTAAAGGGCTAGGACTGGGGAGGGACTGGGGTGGGGGAGGGGTGGGGGGAGGACTGTGGGGAGGGGTGAGGGAGGTGAGGCTGCCTGGGATGTGGTGGCAGAAGGCATTTTTCCGGAGGGCAGGGGCTAGCAACCTTTCAGTGTGATGTGCCAAACTGCTAATCCGTCTTCGGGTGCGCAGGGATGGGACCAAGGGCGGTGGTGTGACCACGACTCTCAGAAACGGGTGGGGGGGTGCGCCAGGAGCTAGCTGTGCCTCCTGCTTTTTGTGGGGGCCTGTCTGCCTCCACCACAGGTTTCTGAAATTTGTAAGCCTGTGCTGATTTGCACTCTTCGAGACCATTCCTCATGGAATGGCCCGGGGAGAGTCTGTGTGTGTTGGGGGGGGTTGAGGGGAGTTCGCTGGCAGAAGGATTCCTCCGAGCCAAGAAGGGCTCAGAGGATGTCAGGCATGTGCCAGATTCTGGAAGAGAGCTGAGAACCCAGCTTCCCTTGTGACTACAACAGGGGGACAGACCAGATCACAAGAGGCCAGGGATTTTGACACAGCTGCAGCCAGGAAGTAGAGATCCTTGGGTCAGAGGGGCCCCCAGCTAAGTACAGAAAAAATCTGGCCTTCATTGGGCTGAACTTGAGGGGAAGGGATGTGCCCTCAGATGCACCATTATTGCTGAGGAGAACAGCCTCCCCCAAACCCTGGAGGCCAGGTGTGGGACTGTGGGGCCAAAAAAGCAGCTGGAAAACTTGAGAAGTCAGTAGTAGGGCCGGGCCGGGCGGAGGAATGAAATCCACAGGGGTGGATTCTGCATGGGCCAGGGCAGCGCCAGAACCCAGGCGGACGTGTCGAGCCAGGGGCTGTCACGAGATTAGCAAAGGGAATTTAATGTAGGGATCATGGATGATGGAATGTTCATGAGAACAAGAGGGATTTTGGGCAAGTCCAGAGGGAAAGTGCAGGGCATTCAGAGTGGGGGAAAGAAACCCCTTTCCTGGAGAGGTCATTGCTTGTTCATTGAAGGGATACGGGAAATCGTCAAGTTCAAGCAGACAAATTCAATTACATAAAAATTTCAAACGTTTGCATGGCAAAGAGTAATGAAAAATGAAAGGGAGGCCAGTTAAGAGGAGGAAACTATGTAGAATTGGGCTGAGTAAGAGCTGAGCCTCCAATAGAAACAGTGAGCGAGAGATGTACTTAGTTCCAAAGACCAAACGGGCTGGCACGGCACCCAGGAGGAAACGCACGCGGGCCAGCGCCACGAGGCTAGCAAATAAAGTCAACCCCTGGCATTCGCCAAAAATACATTGAAAAATTATGTCGTGGAGTGATAGACTCCCGGCGCGATGGAGAGACGCATTTTGGAGAGCCGTTTGGTAATACTCGACCAAGGTAGAAAAAAATGACGATAAGACTAAGTTATCTCACTTTAGGGAATACGTTCTGGGAAAACAATTCAAAAGAAAGAAAGTATTTGCACAGAGATATTTGTGGCCACTTCTATGTCAAGTCATTGGCTGGAAACTGCTCGGCTGTGGGGGACAGCCAAGAAGACTGTGGTCTGTTAGGACCATGAGCTGTTGCCTTCACATATGACAACTATGAAAACTATTCTGAAGAACATAGTGCTGTGTGATGCAATCATAGCCAAGTAGGGAGAGAGAGAGAATTTGGAATTATGATCACGTAATGGCAGGAACAAAGTAAAAGTACATCTGAACAGTTATTGAGTGGAAATAGATTCAACATTTGTAAATAGTGATTTGGGACACTGGGTTCTGGTCCTTGCGTGCTGCTACCCATATATGCACATTTCTATTTCAGTTATAACTGACCATCAAATAACACATAGGCTTGAATATTTACTTCGAAAGCATAACCTCTATAGATGATATTTGAGAAGAGCTACTGGGTTTGCAAATGAATGTATCAGCGCAAATGAGACTGGCCGGTGGAAGGCGGAAGGAAGAGGCGGGAGTCGGGAGGAGAATTCCCAGCTGGCCGGAGCCCCAGCAGGGAGGAAGGGCCATCGGAGCAGAGACCCGTTTGGTGACTGACCGAGGAACCTGCCCGGGGGAGGTATGCAGAGGTCGGGGAGTCCTCCAGTGTGATCAGATCATTGTGGGGTGTGCACAAGGCAAGGGAAGGTGCTGTTGAGTTCGCCCACTAATTCAGAGCGAGTGGTGTTTCTAGGGGACCAACTAGTAATCCGGTTGTTGTGTGGGGGTGGGGCGGGGACAGTGTCTTCTCCTCTTTGCAGTTCTATTTGCAGAGAGCATAGTGATGGCTCATAGCAGGTGCTCATTGAACGTCTGTGAAATGAATTAATAGCTAGAAGAAGCACAGGAGAGTGGGAAGACTCTTTCCAGAGGTTTCCCACCTCAGATGTCTAAGCCCGGGCCAACCAAGTTGTCCAAAACCTTGGCTCGTGGGAAATCTCTGGTAGGGGACACTGTGGACACAGGCCACCATCTGCCTCCCAGGGGTGGCCCAGCTGGGTCACAAAAGAGATGAGACTGGGGTGTCTTGCTTGTCTGTGAAGGGGGACCCAGTGAGTCATAGGCTCTGGGAGATCGTATACCTTCAGGTTAGAAAAACTGTTTTGCAGAGTGGCATGGGAACCGTGGGAATGTCACCTGGCTGCAAGGAGAGTATCCCACAGATGCGTCAGAGCTGCGGGGACCATGTGACTTTAGGAAGTTAGGAACTCCTCCTAAGTTTAGGAACTCCCAGGAAGTTAGGAATCCTGGGAGGCCTGGCATTGGAAGACTGTCAGAAGTACTAACTTTTCCTCACTAAGGGGCAGGGGTAGCAAGGCACAGAACACTGGCAAAAGGTGAAACGGAAGGAAAGTTCAGCATTGTGCATAATTTGGGGGATAAAATCCCCAGCACCTTAACCGTGACCTAGGGATCCCACTTGGCACCATGGGGAAGTTCTTGGTTAAACTACAGATGTTAAGAAATCAAGAACATCCTGAAAGATACACACATACCCCCAACGCACGCACACAGCCCCCGCATTCGACTATGACCGTTAACTTGATCAATCATTCCATTTCGTGTTTGGAACTTTCCAGGTTGTGCTTATACTGGTGAAAGAAGCATGCTGTTTGGGTAGAGAGAGAGGGAGTAGAAAACCTCTTCCATAGTCTTTGTGTCTAATAAAGGAAGGGAATGAGGTCGCAGAGACCTGAAGACTCCTTCACGAAATAGCTGTGTGATCTTGGCTAGCTTCCTAACTTCCCTGAACGTCAGTTAGTACCTCAGTGAAACGGGGACCACAACAGGCCCCATGCCAACCTCACAGGGTTGTTCGTGAGTCCTAGGGGGAGGTGCACGGGGAAGTGCTTTGTGCACCATGAAGTTCAAGGCCGAGGTACGGGTTAGGCACAGGCTCAACCGATCTGTCCTGACCTAACATGGACTCTTCCATCCGTGTAAGCCTGCACGGGGGTGTAAGTGGCACGTACTGTGAGGTCAAAGCTCGAGAAGGTCCGTGTAGAGCTGTTTCCTGTTTCTCCTTTGGAGGAGGTGTTTTGTTTTGCTTTGTAGCAATTATTTGCAGAAGCCATATGTGTAAGACACAGCAGTAACTGTAGGAGCAGAAGGGACCAATGGCCAGCTTGCTAAGACTCAGTCCTGTTCCTAAAAGCCAGCTGAGACCCAGCCTGTGCCAAGGAAGGACTGATAACCATAGACACTTAGGAAAAGTTCAAAACGGCAAGCGTGGCCCGATCTTTTGATAATTTAGAGGAAATATAATTTGGGAGGGACTAGCTCTCCTGTCATTGTAATCTTGTTATTACTGTACCTATAAATCCATGTCATTCTAACACAAGCTACAGAGATAGAGGTGGAGGTCTGAGAGGGAAGTCAGAAATCTTCCAAGGAAATCGGTGAGGTTGGTGATCTGGGCTGGGCAGGATTCAATAGGTGGGTGCCAAGAATGAGGTGTTTGACCATCTGTCCGTGGCAGGGTAGCTGATGGCTACGGCTCTCCTGCAAATGAAGCAGGACATTGGACAGGGCACAGAGGTCTGCTTTGGCGTGGACAGCAATTTTGGACTCGCTGGGGCAGAGAGCGGCCGGGACATACTTAGGAAGATGTTCCTAGCAGAGAAGGACCAAGTTCAAACGCAGGCTTAGGGACACAGGTAGCTTGACTGAAGATAGCAGAACCGGCCTGCCCAGCTGGTTCGTGAATATTGTTTAATGAAATGGATCAGGACAGGAGCAAAAATAGGTTTTCCAGGGACCACGGATGGCCTTCGGTAGGAGAGTGGGGTAGGTACAGGGGTGTCAAGGCAGGACCTCACCTGAAGCCCCAGGTGAGGAGCCTTCGGGACCCGGTAGAGAAGGGCCTGTATATAAAGAGGCGATTAGGAAGGAGCTTTGGGGAGACTTGGGAAGCAACCTGACTTGTCTCCAGAGAGTCTGAACTGGTTGGCTTAGCAGCCAAGAGAGATGGGTTTGAAAACAGAATTGGGACCTCGGTACCCATAGTGTCAGCCCAGCAGATTTGTCTTAGTTGCCATGGGCTGAAGATTCTATGTGGGACGCTTTCATTCCTTTGGGTACTTCCTATCTTTATTCTGTTTCTTAATAAATTCTTTTGAAAAAAAAACGTGAACCTTCTCTCAGATGGATTCATGGCCATGGGGAACAGTCAACACCAGAACCCAGAGGGCGAAAGGCCCCAGATGTCATGATTGCCCCTGCTATAGCTCCAGAGATGCCAACACACGGTCCTTAGGGGACACTGCAGGAGCAGGGTGACCGCCACAGTCACCGTGTGTGGTCCCCTCCTACTCCCCGCCACTCCCGCCTATAGAGGGAGGGGGCCCTCTGGGCAGAGACATGGACAGATCTTCCAGGCTGACCCCTGGTGGGAGCCAGCAGGTGACCTGGCTCGGCGGGACTGCATGTGGGCACACTCAGGTGGGGTACGATCACGTGAGGGGGGGGGGGGGGGGGAGGCGGGCAAGGGGCCCAGGTCAGGGTGGCTGTGCCCGCCTACCACTGGTCTCTGCTTGTTTTCTGGTTTGGAGGAACCAAA